CACAAGTGCATATCCTTTTGAGATATCAATTATAATCAATTTGAATAAAACACTAGACTACATTATAAAACTCTAACAGTAGGCTATTTAATATCTGTTGTTTTCCGGTTGTCAGTGAAAATGACAGTTCTTGCATGAACATTATAGCCCTATATATACCCAAGCCAATTTATTATTCCTTCCTTTTTGTCTTAGTGTTTAAAATATTTATTTTGAAACGAATTAATTAATTAATTACTTAAACAGACTTACTGGGTGAGCAGGGTAGGCTATGACAGCTGTCATATCATACCCTGCCATGCCCAGCTGATGCAAAGAATAGAATTTACATCTACACAGAAGAAAGCCCTGTCTAGACTCTGCCCCGGTATGAGTTGTGTTGAGCTATTCATTCGTTTGTTTGATGAAAAAATATGAAATGTAGTTGCAATAAATGTGCTAAGAATCCATAAAACTGCAGCAGTGGAGGACTATTATTCTGCTGCGTGATACTGTGGAAGAACTGATGATGGCACGGTTTGATCTTCGGCTGACCAATCAGCAGAAAGGGGTGTTTAATTCCCGCCCACATGTAGAAATCGAATATTCAAGCCGTTTATTCATTTTTCTACCCCTGAATGAAAAAACGAAAATTTAAGCTGAATTCTCATTTTTCTACTTTCAATAATAAATAAAAAAACGAATGATCGAATGATAAACGGATTCAGCATGATGATTGTCTCTAGTTACAGACAGACTGGTAATGATATAGCACAGTTTGTTATTTGCATTTTGTTACATACAAACATACAAATTATAATTGAAAATTATGAATGATAATAATCAAGTGATAAAATGACAATATAAAAAGGTCTGGAAGCACATAAACATATGAAGACAGTGGTACCTGTTGTAACATGCGAGATGTTTGGGCATATTTCACCTGATGGTCTCTTACAAAGCGCTCAGAAGCTTGTGCAACAGAAACATCAGGAAAGCCCCTCACTGGATAGACCTACAGTAAACATAACCATCTGATGAACTTACAAATTTCAACAAACCTCTCACTATATGTACGGTCTGTTCGTACCATATACTGGGCGTCTTTGAAGAGCTCCTTCCCTGAAACCTCCTCCAGTTTTTGCCCTCTCAGACCACTTGAATCTTGCGCTACGAATTCATCCTTCTCAGTGCTCCTGAAATAGTCCAAAAATAGCTTTTAGAATGAGACAGTTCAGTTTGAAAGACTTCTGATTATCATGAAATAATGAATAATAATGACTTGATTTGAAACTGTAAATGAGTGCTCTCTTGTGCAAAGAATGACTTCAATGCAAAGAATGACTTCTATGAGTAGGATCGTTTAGAAACATAACCACAAACCTCTCCTCATAATGCAGGATTAATGTATATAGCACAAACAGTGACTGAGGAGCTAGTTAATATAGTAATATCCATGCCTGCCTTAGCAAACATGAATGTTATATCATATAGATCATACCATTTAACATTGAGGTTGATGAAGATGAGCAGCTGTCTCTTTCCATGGCAGGTGTCACACTGGCAAGAGCCGCTGCCGCTACATGAACTACAGCTGAAAGACACCAGATAAGTCAGAACTCAGAAAATACCAACCAAACCACTGAAGCCCTCTGCAGGATTTCATCAGAATTCAACCCACAGTAGCCACAAAAGTTATAAAAATACAATAAAAATGTATTAAATTAAAATAAATTAAATTAAATTAAAAAACATAAGTAAAAGAAATATAAATTAAGTAAAGTAAGTAATTTAAGACATTAAAAAAAGCAATTTTTTGTTTGGAGAGAACCCTGTTTTAAAGAAATGTCTCATTATATACAGCTATAAAGGACTTACTTTTCACGTCCGCGCCCATTGCAGTGCGTGCAGCGGTCATCAGACTGACGGTAACCAGAACCATTACACACCCTACAGACTTTCTGCACATGGAAAACAATAGAGGAGAAACAGGTCATATATTAGGGTATTTACGTCATATGATGAACTGAATGAAAAAACATTCTGTGGCTTGTGCGCACAATTCCAGTACAATTCAACTTGAATTGCTGTCCAGTCACCACACAAAGGGATACTTTTACTCAATACAAGTGCCACATTTTCCTCTGTTAAAAAAAACTTTGATAATTAAATGCCCAGCATGCAGCTGGTTCGGTCTGTGCTAGTCAAAATGTACTTACATTTCCAGCTCCAGCACAGGTGGTACAGGGGGTTTTTCCCATTCCCAGACACAAGTGACAGTTCTAGGGTGCAAACAGAATATAATGCTCTAAAATATGATCCGTCTTACTGAACATAACCATTACTGGCAAGTTTACCTGCTGCAGGAAGCCAAAAAGCCTTTGTACTTTAGAGATTAAAACACTTTTTCAGCAACCTTGGTTCCAGACATATTTCTTTGTCCCATTCATTTGTCCCATAGGGATTTTAAAAAGTAATTGTTAAAGAGTTATAAGCCACGAAAGCAAACCAAACCAGCTATGAGGTAAAAATCACAGCATTACAAAGTATTTTGAAAATGCAGAGAGACTAATTATATCATTCATAGTGCTTCATCTGAGAGGGCGTTTTTTTTGGTACAATTTGCTTGTCACGATTTTTTTGCAGAATCATGGGTAATGTAGCTCTTCACCATGAATTCTGGATTTTAACATGATTGTTTAAAAAGTAAGTTTGTTAAAATATGTTTCATACAAAATAATGCGGGCTGATGGCTTCAACAAAAGCATGAACCATCGATTAACAACCACATAGCACACGGCATGTCTGTCTTTAAAAGTTTTTAAGTTATCATTTTAAATTCACTATCGTATTGAGAAAATGAATAGGACTTTTGATTCCGGAACTCGACTGTTGTGCTCTACAAACAGAATTTAAATGAATGTTCTGGTGATCTAGAAGATTAAATAAAATGCTGACAAACCCTTTAGAATGTGTTGAGTTTTCATGCAGAAATGCTGTACAGTAGCCACTTTTCCACCATCAGGCCAAACCGTTCTAATGCTTAATCTATTTCATTTCATTCCATGCCGAACCGCCCAGCCGGTATGGATTTGGTTTCATTTTCCACTGTGGGCCTGATAACAGAGCTCCAATACAAATTCATCAGTCATTGCTTTGGTAATGCAAGTGTTTACATATGATATGAGACGTAAATAGCGACCATGTTATAGAGGATGATCAGATATTTCTATTTACTTCAGTCAAATAGTGCACTTGGTCAGCTACAGAGAGAGAGAGAACTAGTGGGCAGACAACAATCAAGTGACCAATTCTGAGTGGAGACATCACTACAGACATTCTACCAGCCAACTGTGCTCAGAATTGCAGGCTGAGAACGGTTTATAATCGTGTTGTGCCAAACCAAGCTCAAGTGGAAATTGCTTACCATTCTTAGAACCGTTCGGTCAGACGGTGGAAAAGTGGCTAAAGTGTGTCGAATGGGACCTGCTTTCTTAATGTAAGTGCTGTAATGCAGATGTTCTGTATATTTGTTTCATAATTAATTCTTTGTAATTAACTCCATAATTTCTTGTATTAATTCATTTGAGGTTCAATTTAAAAATGTATAGAAGTTGTAATGTGATGTAAATTCATTTGGTGTACTTTAAAACATAAGGCACAAGAATGCGTCACTTTAACGAAAATTACGTGCTTGTTAGTCGCCCTGATGGACTGATGATGAGCGGACGCATCACAAGGCTCTGCTAAGTTAAATACGTTTAAGTTTAAAATCAGTGCTGTCGCAAGCCAAAAGGACAGTAAAGAAGATTTTCATAAATTCAAAGACCTCTATTCATGACAAGCGGCCAATGAGGTATTTGTTTGTAAAATGTAACGAAAGTGTTCATAATAGCACTAAGCGCCATTTTGTATTTGATGCAGTTGTACTGTTTTCACTTGTGTACAGTTCTTACGGCGTTGTGGCGTTAAGACGTCAAAGACGCGAAAGACGTAAAGAAGACTACCTAAGAATAAAACGCCCGTTCTAAAGAACCAACCTGTGTCTGTTGTCATGAAGAGAGCTACACTTAATTTTTGTGGATCATGTGGTTAATGGTCAAACCTTGACTGAGGAAGTATAGGGCACTTTAATGGTCTGCTTGTGCTCTTGAAAGAAGGCCGGAGGTTGAGCTGCAATCTGCCACGGACCTGGAGCAGGTTGAACACCAGCATCCACAGCCTGACCTGAAATTGTATGCTTTTATTGATTATGAGCCACATTAAATGCAGGAACATTTTCCTTCCTGTCATTTGCATCATGTAAGATTTGAATATAGTGCAGGAATACAAGATCAGATTTGTATCCATTGTAAATGGAAGCAAAAGACAGCATGAAGTGTAAACATGACCTGTTTGACTTCTGGGTACCTGTGTAAGGCTCCTGACTCCATTCAGTAGATCTGGACTCCATGAACGTCTCCAAACGATACTGAGAACAGAAGCAGCATTTAGTTCCATCAACCACAAATCACATAAGGTTTTAACATGCATCACCATGTGATGCTTCTGGACACATCATCAGTGATGTTTCCTGGGGTCATCTGGTGTTTCGGGTCTTTCAATAATCAGACATCCTCGCCCAGGCGACCCAGTCGGGTTTGATCAAGCCCCAACTTGTGTCCAGGTAGCACTACCTGGCACTACACCCAAGGCTCTCCTCTCCTGATCCACAGCCAACTTGAAGCAACCTCTGCTGCATCCGTGGCCGACTTAATGCCCCTTTGTATACTGGCCCCTCTGATGCCCAGCATGTTGTAGACCTTGCAAAAAGACTGGGCTGCAAACCCTCTACATCCCACCTCAGTGGGCTCGCACTTTGCTTGCCAGTTGTTTCTTCAGCACTCTTCTACCAGCTCTGTGTACTTGGATCTCTTCCTCTCATTGGCCTCCTCGATACAATCCTCCCAGAGGACTGTGAGTCTAAGAGATGATCTGCTTGGAGGCTTCTGAGATCAGCACCATGTCTGGCCTCAGCGATGTTATGGGAACAGTTTCTGGGAACTTCAGTTGCCTACCCAGGTTGACTTTCAGCTCCCAGTCCTGTGCAGATGTTAGCACACCAGAGAAGGAGGTCCTGGCAGATGTTGTTACCTTCTCTCCAGCCCTATCAATAGTGATGGTCTTCTTCGTTGGGCGTAGGTGCTTACAGTGGGTAATCCAGCTGGAGTTGGTATCTGCTATGACATGGTTCCTCAAATCTTGCTCGAGTTTAGCTCCAACTCTAATAAAACACACCTGAGCAAACTCATCAAGATCTTCAGGATCCCTAGAAAATCACAGGTGACGGAGTTTGATCAGGGTTTGAGCTCAACTCTGCAGGGCAGTGGTCCTCCAGGACCGGATTTAAGGAACCCTGTGCTATGGCCTTCAGAACTTTGTCATGACACCAATGATTGCGCCCCTCACTCAGGGCTCTTAGACAGCTGCTGAGGATGTAATCCAGGGTCTCGTTCTTCAGGCACAGAGGGTAAGCTGGTGACTCTACCTTTTCCCAGCAGAAAAGATTGGACAGGCTTGGTAGAATGTCATAGACAGCCTGGATTCAGATTTTTATTCAGTGGGGCTTAGATTTCCAGAGCTTGGCCCAAGTAACTTTGCGTTCTACTAATTGTTTCCACCTTGTCCAGGCTCCCTGCTGCTGCATCCCATCAATCCTGCTGGCTCGCACTTCCTCAAGCAATGCTCTGACCTCATCCTGGAGCTGCAACCTCCTATCCTTCCTCCTTGCCTTGCCATAGCACGACGCCGTGTTGCTGCTCAGGCCTGCTCTTCCTTGAACCACTGTGCCCACCAGTGCCCTTTGCTTCAGACGTGACTCAGCAACATCCATGGCCACAGATGCCTTCCATTTCAGCCCTGTCCTGACCTCAATCCCTGCCTGAGAGACTTTTGGGTCTCAGGACTCCTAGTATTGCAGCAACTCCCTAGTGCGGGTCACCATGAATTCTTCATTCAGGCTGCTGATGGGGAGTTTCAGCTCGTTGTTTTGCCCGTATAAAGCGATACTGCTTAGGCTTCAGGGTAGTCCTAGACATTTCCGTAAGAACCTGCTCATCCTCCTCCACGCCTTAAAATTATATGTCTTAAACATTATATGTAAAAAAAAAAAACACATACCGAAGAAGAAAACGTCATAATGAAGATTGAATGTTTTTTAATTTGTAATTTAGGTCTCACCCTGTAGGTATTAAAGGACTCCATATTGGTTATGACTCCCTCTCTGACGGGGGCAGAACTATAGCAGCACTTGCTGGAGACGTACGTTGCGAAAGCTTGACGTGCCCTGTCCTCTGAGATGGAGGGTATACTGATATCAAAGAGAAAATATCAATATGTAAGTGACCTTTGCACATGTCTAACAGGGTGTGTTGTGACATTTTAGTACCTCCATGACCCTTTTTAGGTGTTTTACTAAACTGACACAACGTATTCAGGTCATAGTGCAGAATAATGGGCTAAAAAGGTGAATCAGCAGAATGCATTTTAGATAAAGCTTTCAAACTTTTTGATGCCAAAACTCTCAAAATATGATGATCCCCTGCAAGGTGAATATAAAAGTAGCTACAGTACATACCTATATATATTGTCTGACAAAATTATAAAGATAACATTTCTTTGCTAAGTTTTTACTGTACTGAAGTTAAAGCCAATTATTTAAAAAATACTGTTATTTAAATGAAGAATGCCCATCTTTGTATGAACATTGCATATCATAGGTGAGTGTTTAAGATTAAATGTGTGCATTGAGTGTTTTTTGTATAGAGAAAAAGCTCTTACTGCCAGTCTGGTGGGCTCGGGGCCTGTTCAGGCACAGGCATCGGTACAGATGGCATTGGAGGTGGAAGATACCCACCTGTGAAAACAGAGACAACACTAGCAACAAAACTAGGAGGCTCATTCATGTATTTCTGTGCTCTAAACACTATAAGGTCTATTGTTGCATTCAAGTCCTTCTGGAAAATGTGTATTTACGACGTCAGGTGCGTTCAAATTAGTGGTTTGGGATTTTTCAAATATCGGCATCGGCCGATAAGTTTTTCTGTTTGGCCGATGCGTTCGAGGCCAAACAGACTTTTATTTTGACGACGCTGACAGCACACAGTGCTCACATTCTCCCTCTTGTTCGCCGTCATCGTTAACAGTTCTGTCTAAATACGGATAGAAGTCTGTCTAATAATCAGATAGAACGGTTAAACAAAGGAATTAAAATGTATACAGACAGTATTATAACGACTGCTTTAATATTATTAGTAATAGAAAGGCAAACATTATAATACTTTCTCGTTTGCCGTCAACATTCAGCAAATACGCATTTACATAATTTAAACAAATCTTTGAATGGCTAAGGAAAATTTAATTTCACAAACCTTGCAAACTTATTCGAATCTAGTTGTGAGATCTTGTGAAGTGTGCATGTGATCTGCATGATCGCTTGTTCTCTGCATGATTTTCGGTCCGTGCAAATTAAATGCTTTAAACATTAAATTCGTGATTTCAAATTATGCTGCGCTTTATGCATTTGCCTACATGCAACTTGCACTAACATGCCCTCTATTCGGAAACTTGGGGCTTAAAGAAAAGTTTCCCACTTGTAATTACTATTTTGTGGTGACGTTTATGTGCTTTCAACTTGTAAATATGATCTATCCGACATGACTTGAATGCACCATATGAGCCCGAGCACATTTTCTCATGCTGAAGCAAGTTGTTTAGCTTCTTTGATGTTTGATATTTGTTTGAACTTGCATGCTTCTTACCGTCTCCGCCAGCTACTGTTCCCTCATATCCAGGGACGGTATCAAACATGTTTGCAGGGGGTGCAGAAGGTCCGTGCATGCTTGTTGCGGGTGCGACCGCCATGGCTGAGAGAGATTCAAGCAAACCGTTTAGGTAAGTTTTCCACTGGAACCATTAATAAAATTCTGTTTCAAATATAATAAAAATGTCACTATACGTTCAAACACTTATTTATTTATTGCACAGCTTCTGAAATACTGATTGTGATTTATGATTGGTCAATCCCAGCGGCCTGTGTTGAAATACAGGGGTGGAAGAAAAAAAAAATATCTTTTGACTGAATTTTTCCTCAGCCATACCCCATTCCACAGCCATACCTGTCACACACCCAGTTTAAGAGCAGTTTTTTCTTGTAATTAGGAGCACTTGTCCTCCTAATTAAAAAAAATTTAGGAGCACCTTCTGATCAATAATAAAATATTCTGATCAAAAATTAGCCTTCCTAATATGAGGTGACATTTGACTCAAAGTGATATACAGGGGCATTTTCTTTTTATCTTTGTAATGGCATTTTTCTAATTTTATTAAATGTATGCAGTGTTTCTTAGGATTTTTTCCAGCTGTGGTGGCAGGGCTATTTCTCATGACCACGCCCCCTCCCCTCCCCACCCAAGAATTAGGTGCACTCAGAATTGAATTTATTTTAACTAAAAAAAGACAAGTAAATAGTAAATAATAAAATAAGAACAAATAAATTAATGACAATCAATAGCACAAGCAAAAACAATAACAAGATACAAATTTAATTAACAGTACTTTATTTTTTTCAGTTAGGTCCAACTATAATCTATTCAACTGTAAAATAACACTGGTTAGTCTTCACTGTATAATGAAAGGCAGGAGGAGGTTTATTTAGGCTACTGTCTCTTTAAGACCTCATGCATGGATCTAATATACTGTTACACATGGCTCTGCTTACTTTTATTTTTAGGAGCTCTTGTTCTCCTAATTAAAAAAAATATTAGGAGCACCTTCTGATCAATAATCACAAATTCTGATCAAAAATGATCCTTCCTAATATGAGGAGACATTTGACTCCTTAAAGTGACTTACAGGGTAAAAAACGTTGTTTTTACCTTTGTAATGGCATCATTTTCATCTGTCAAATTCTAAAATTTATGTTTATAAGCTTTTTAAAATTTATATTTAGAACAATATAATAAGTAGAGTAAGACAAATAAGTTACCAATCATATGAAATTAGTATTCATAAAAAAAATAATTTGTACTACAGAGGTGGCACAGAAGAACACAAAAGTGGCTTGTAGGTACATTTTCACACGTTTAATGAGGCTCAAAGGTGGCATGAGTGCAATCAAATTCATACATTCATGTGGAGATTAATGTTTTAAATATAAAATTTCAAATACAGAAATATTAAATGATTCAAACAACTGAAATTATACACTAAAAATTAAAAGTTGTCACTCTCCTTATCGCGATCTGTGGGCGCACAGAAAATGAGAGAGCGCCAGTGAGTTCTCAAGACTCAGAAGCACGCGTTCTGTCATCTGTCATTGTGTTATAAGCGCGGAACCTGCAGGAATGAGTAGAATTGTTATTAATAGCCACAATCCCGCGCCGAAATTCAAGTTCTGCTCTGTGTTCTCTGCTAATAACCCTATAGGCTTAGATCTCTGCCACAATTCTGCGTGCGAAAGATCATATTTTGAGCGCACAAAAGTGCATTTTGCACGCACGCGGTCTAAGTTTTGTGAAGAAAATGTTCGTTTCGCAAAGAAAAAAGTATTTCGAGCGCACGAAAATCAAGTTTGCATTAAAAATACATTTTTGGATGTGTGCAGACCTTCTCTTTTGCGCATGCAACGTTTCACTAGCTTGCTCCCTTGATGCCAGCCCTCAGTGCTCTCTAAATGCTCAACACAACCCAGCGTTACAATATGCCATAATTCCAGCCAATCAGAGACCGAGGCTGCTAAATTCTGATTGGCTGCCTTGACAACCACTCACAACATTTCTTGCATTACCAGGACAGCAGAAGAGGAAAAACATACAGTACATGCATAATTATTATGCAAGCTAATATTCTGATCATATTTTTTTCCAAGCACATTTGACCAATTCCAAACAACATCAATCTTAATAACCACTATTAATATTGTATTTAATCACTTATAATCTACATATTATTGTTCATGAAGGCTGGAAGTGAAAAACGCCTTATATTCAGGTGTGCATAATTATTAAGAAGGTTATCTTCTACAGATAAAATCTCGAGATGGGCTAAAAATGAACTCCCAAAACTTACTGCCAGATTCTGGAAGATAAATTCTTCAACCAATGGTACAAGAGGATGTGGTGCTGGTCCTTCAAGAATCACTCTCAACTTATCTGTCTATAAAGCCTATATATATATATGTCCAATGGTTATGCATTAACTTTGCAATTTCTAGTATTGTAGTAGTTTTGAATATTTCTCATGGGAATTTAATAATTTTTGACTTTCAGTCTGAGTTAAATCTCTTTTTTGGCTCATTTTATCTGTAAAAGAAAATCTGCTTAATAATTATGCACACCTGAATATAAGACATTTTTTCACTTCCTGCCTGCATGAATAATTATATATCAATTATAAATGATTAAATACAAGATTAATAGTAGTTATTAAGATTGATGTCGTTTGGAATTGGTCAAATGTGCTTGGAAAAAAATATATTCAGAATATCAACTTGCATAATAAATATGCATGCACTGTATTTTTCCTCTTCTGCTGTCCTGGTAATGCAAGAAATGTTGTGAATGGTTGTCAAGGCAGCCAATCAGAATTTAGCAGCCTCGGTCTCTGATTGGCTGGAATTATGGCA